GGCCGTACGCCGCTCATGGTGGCGGTGGGGCTGCCGGACCCCGCCATGCGCTCGCGCTTCGTGCGCCTGCTGCTGGAGCAGGGTGCGGCCGTGAACCTGCGGGACGAGCGCGGCCGCACTGCACTCAGCCTGGCCTGCGAGCGAGGCCACCTGGACGCTGTGCAGCTGCTGGTGCAGTTCAGCGGCGATCCGGAGGCAGCGGACTCGGCGGGCAACAGCCCGGTGATGTGGGCGGCGGCGTGCGGCCACGGGGCGGTGCTGGAGTTCCTGGTGCGCTCTTTCCGCCGCCTGGGCTTGCGCCTTGACCGCACCAACCGTGCTGGCCTCACAGCGCTGCAGCTGGCCGCCTCCCGCGGTCACGGGACCTGTGTGCAAGCCCTCACCGGGCCTTGGGGTCGGGCAGCCGCAGCGGCAGCGGCCCGGGGCTCCAACTCCGACAGTCCCCCAGGTCGTACTGCCCCGGCGCCCAGCCCAGAGCGTCGACGGCCCAGCCCCCGTCGTCTACCGCGACCCCTCTTGGCGCGGTTTGCGCGAGCTGCCGGCGGCCACGGCCACGGTCATGGCCACGGCCACGGCCACGGAGGTGAGCTTGCCTCTGCAGGCAAGGGCTCCGGCCGACACAGGGCACAAGGCAGCGAGAGGCCAGAGCTGGGCCGGAGCATGAGCCTAGCGCTGGGTACCATGACGGAGGAGGAGACAGCACGCCTTCGGGCAGGAGCTCTGATGGCCCGACCAAACTCACCCCAGTCTTCGGGGAGTGGGCGGTGGCGCTCACAGGAGGTGCTGAAGGGAGCGCCCCCAACCTTAGTGCAAGCCCCTATTGGCCTCAGTCCTCATCCCGAGGGTGGCCCAGGCTCTGGCCGCCTGGGTTTGAGGCGACGTTCCACAGCCCCAGACATCCCCAGCCTGGTCGGGGAGGCTTCAGGGCCCGAGAGTGGCCCGGAATTAGAGACCAATGCTCAGCCTTTCTCAGTGCCCGGGCCAAAGCCTTGGCAGGAGGGCACAGAGGCTGTGGTATTGCAGGCTCAGCGGTAAGGGGCATGAAGGTCGAGCCCTGCAAAGTCCACCCTCTTGTCTCTGGTCACTGAGATGTCCCATTCCTCCAAGTCTGTCCCTTTCCCTGCGATTTGCCCTCCCTCAGCCTTGTCCCCTCACTGCTAAAGGGAGACCTCCCCCAGTCCTCCACCAGATTTAAGACAGAGATCTCACCCTTTTGTGCTCTGTGTATTTCTTGTGTAGAACTCTCAACCTTCCTACAGCCTGACTCTTGTCCTGGGGAAAAAAGAGGCGCGAAAGGCTTATTCTGCAGGCTTCAGCTTTCTAGCCAGAAACGTGGACCCCGAGGCTCAGCCGCCTAGGTACTGCTTCTGGTCCTGTAAAATCCCCTGCTTATTTCTAACTTTCCCCGTCACCTTGGTAGCCCGGCAGCAATAGAGGTGGCTTTGGAGAACAAAGGCCCAGGAGGCGGTGTCTACTGATGCTGACCGGAATAGTTGGATAAACTACCAAAGTTTCCCTTCGCTGTAAGTGTCAGAGGAAGCAAGGCTTGAAGTGGTCCCACTTTTTGGATCAGACGGCTGATTGTGAAGGAATCCAGGGGCTAAGGTTTTCTGAGGTAGAAACTCCTCCTCCAAGGCAACGAGGATGTTTTGGGGGCTTGGTACCATTTTGTTCACCGGTTGTCTCTTCTGGGGACTAAGCTTTCTCTGACTGTCTCAGTCAGACCCAGGGTTCATTTATATTACAGGGTCATTGCTCCTCCAAGCCCCTGATGACTCTTGGCTCCTGGGCCAGCCTGACCCCTCTGCATGACTGCATTCGAATTTCATTTTTGAGGTTCAGTGCTTCACTCATGGCGGTCCAGCTTTCCTTACATTTCCACTTAGTCCCAGAGGCCTGAAATGGAAAGGACTTAGCATCCCACCTCCTCCTCCCAGCTCCCCCATTCTGCACGTGGGTGCTCCAGGAGGGTGGAACAGTTAGGAAGGCTTTGCTTAATTGTATTTCTTCCAACCCTCAAAAGAACTCGTGTTTTGAGCCTTTGTGTATGAGGCGGAAAGCAGCAGGTCTGATCCGAGGCTTAAGAACCTGACAATGTCTCTTTAAATAGCACCTCCGCGAGGGGGATAATTGACTGGAGTGTTTGCAACGTTAAGCGGCGGCGCGCGGGAGTCGGGAGCCCACACGAACCGCAGGTCCGGATCTAAATTACATCAAACTCGAAGAGAGCCTAGGAGGGGGCTGCTAAACGTCTCCTGCTTCTTGCTGGGCTGTTAATGGAAGGCAGGGCAGATGATGGATGCTAGACGGAGACCAAGGACCCCTGCCTGTGCCCCACCGCGTGGGATGCAGGCCCAGCCCAGCTTCCAGCTTTTATTACTGGGCAGATTAGTGAGTCAGAAGCAACTGTGGAGAGGTAGTTAGGCCCCCTCCCCACCAAGTCTTTTGTCCTCTCCCTCTCTACCCCTGCCCGCCAACTCTGTGCCGCCTCCTCGACAGGCGGCAAAGAGAGGGGTTTGACAGGTCGCCTGCTCTACGACCCAATGTCAGTGTTAGCTCCTTGTGGGAGATCTGTACCAGCAGGGTGTGGCGAAAACTCCTGCTTCAAGGCAGTGAAAGTTTTCTGGCCATGACTGTACCTCGGGTTTCTGTTTGTGAACCCGGAAGAGTGAGCATGCAGCCCCTCACCTGCCTGCGATAAAGGCTTTTTAAGGCGTTGATCTGTTGTCTTTGTGGGAGGGTTTCGCACCAGTAACTCCGAGGGAGCTGCTCAGGGAGAGACCGCTGGTGCTGAGAAGCCGGGCCGGCGGTTTAGGGGTAGGAAGTCAGCTTTTACAGAGCCAGACACCTCCCCAGTTCCTTGCCTCGCTAGCATCCGAGGCCGCGCGCCAACCCACACTTCGGACGGTGATCCTTGCTGCCCCCTGGTGGTACCTCTGCGCTCTCCTCGCTGCCACCAGGGAACTCAGACTTGGCTTTTGAGGGAGATCAACGATGTGTAGCTTTTCCCTCCGTGTGCATGTTACCCACGAAGCGTGTTCCTCTTGTAAAATAGTAAATCCGGATACTTGAAGTCACTTCAATGAAGTGAGGAACAGTGTACAAGGAAAGTCAGCATTGGGTGTAAGGAGTGCCCAGAACCTCACCAAGAACCCCAAGCCATTTTCCAAGCTAAGGCTACTGTTGAGAGAGCTCCTGCTATCTTTAGAATAGCTGGAGCTACCATCCCCTATGGCTCCTGAGCCTTGACCTGACCGTGTGCGTTGTTTTCTTATGACATCTGCTTTCCCTTCTGTGGGGATGGATCTGCCACTCCAACACACACACACACACACACACACACACACACACGACAGCCCCTCACCGCCCCCCAAGCACACACACCTGCCTCTCCTCAGTCTCCCGAGTGGCTGATGAACACTTCCACCGTGTCTGAAAAGCCAGAGGTCAGGGCAGGGACACTCCAAGCGAACACTGCTTTCTCTCTGAGCCTTCCTTGCTCACATTCCACTTTCAGCTGTGTTTAATTTTAAGGACATTTTTAATGGCGTAAGAATACAAATATTTTGGCTTCAAGCACCATGAAGTTTGGCTCGCACGTTGTGTGCCGGGGTGTCATCTTTTCGGTACCGCTGATGTGGTATTCTCGGGGAATGTCACCTTAGCACATCCCTGTTGGGTAAATAACCGCTCCCCTCTGTGGTCTCTGGAGTGCCTGGAAGCCCGGTGGTTGAAAATGTTTTTGGAACACTGCAGCTGACTTGCCCGTCTGAACTGAGTTGTGGGACTTGCCGCCTGTACAGGCTCCATGGAGAACTCTGGCACACTTCACTCCCCCCAGACTTCCTCTGTCAGGTCTCAGCACACTGAGGCTCAAGTCACCCCCCCCCTTGTCCCCTCCTGCTGTAGAAAAGACTTTGCTGTGTATTCTGCTTTTCGTGTTATTGTCCTTGTTACGAAGAGACTCCCTGGCCACTGGCACTCAGTACTGGTTGGTGGGGAAGGCTGAAGGGCATTGGCACATGACTATGGAAAGGACTAGTGGGAGGAAGAGCAGCTAATAAACCCAGTGGTATTCCATTTGGAGAACCAGCCTCTCTTTGCCTTCCTGCTCACTCCTGCCTCTTGGCTTCCTTTGAAAAGATGGAAGCACACGTTTGATTTGGAGGTGGTTCCTACCTTCGTCATCAGCCCCGACCCTGGCCATTCTACAGCTAGAGCCTGGAGATTGAGAGCTGCAGGAACTGCTTCTTGCTGAACTGGTGGGGCTGGGACTCGGGCTGGGGCTCGGGCTGGGGCCCGAGTATGGCTCCTCGTTCCAGTTAAGTGGCTTCCGTGAGCAGTGGCATTGGGTGTAGAGCTCAGAAAGGGAAAGTTGGAATTACTGCCAGAGCTAGAAGTTAAAAGGTAATTTTACTCCCAGCACTCGGGAAGCAGAGGCAGGCGGATCTGTGTGAGTTCGAGGCCAGCCTGGGCTAAAGGGCTAGTTCCAGGACAAGCTCCAAAGCTACAGAGAAACCTTGTTTCAAAAAAAAAAAAACCCAAACAAAACAAAACAAAACAAAAGGTTATTTTACCTACCTCCCAAGCCCAGGTCTGAAACCAAAGTTTCTTTTTTTCTGGCTACTTGCCTGCTCTTTTGAAATTTTGAAATTATTCCTTCAGTTTTAAGAGATGAACAGGTCTGCTTTCTCCCAGATAGAAGTTTCAGGGAACTTTGCATGGGCAGCCTGAGAACCAGTTAAGGGGAGAAGCCAAAGTTGAAAGGTTCAGCCCTGGCCAGAGCCTCCTTACACCTTCACTTTTGTTCCTAGGGCCTTTCACTTCCTGTTTCCTCCCTCCTCTGCCCACATTCTAGGTGTACAAGTCACCAGAGACGCTGGGTGTTCTGTGGACTCAAGTGACCACGAAGGAGCCCACCAGGCACCCATTCCAAGGGCATCCAGCTCCGAGAAAGCCTGGCTCCAGTCCCAGAGAATGGCAAACCCAGAGGTTCGAACATTCAGTTTAATTTAAAACAGGCACAAGTTGCAAACAATTCACAAAAATTTCTAGGGAAGATGCTTTTGTTTTTAAAACTCTGACCCTTAAAAAAAGACCTTGCGATTTCTTTGCCCTAATGCAGGTCACCAGGGAGCAGAGGGATCTAAAAATATTATCTGGATGTGGTCCAGACAGTGGAGTTCTTCCTTGGCATTCCCTGTCTCACAACAGCCAGGAAGGTGGGAAGGGAGGGAGGACAAGGGGGCAGGTAAGCATCTGCAGGGGCAGCTGGTTCACACATGGAGGTACCCATTCCTTGACATGAGCCTCTTCCCCTCCTCCGCAGGAGGTGGTTCACCTTTCTGTCCCAGCCCAGGGTTCCAAAGAGGGTCCCTGATGATCTGGCTACTGAGAAGTTGCTGGCAGGTGAAGTAATTCCTATCTCAGTATGGGAGAAACTCAGAAACTTCAGGGCACCCCAGCATGTGTTTAGACTTGACATACACACCCCTTCACTGTTCAGGTAATAACATGAGACTTGAGAGGCAGAAAGCCAGGCCCCAAAGCAGGTTCCTTCAAAGTAGAGCTTGGTAGAAAAGAAGACTGGGGTGGGGGTGCCGCTCTTCTGAAGCTCTCTGTGGTAACTGGAAAGGCCTGGGCCTTTGGGGGACTTTATACACACACACACACACACACACACACACACACACACACACACACACGGGAAAGAGAGAGAGAATGAGAATATGTTCTCTCCATCCTGAAAAAATGGAGCCACTTTTACCATCAGCAGCACACTCTCTCTCAGAAGATCCCCTTGCTACTCCCATGGCCTACACACAGGCAATTCACAGTTCTGTGGAGGCCTTCTGAGGAGAGGCTGTGCCAGGGGACAGACGGAAACAGGGGCAAGTAGGGCTTCCAGAAGTCAGGCCCAGGTTGGAAGAAGGACTCAGGTAATAAAATTCTTCCCTGTGGCCCTCTGGGACTCCAGGGTTTGAAGCTGTAACTGAGAATAGCAAGTGTCCGTGTGAAGATGGGGCACACACCCATGCGGTGGCCCGGGACACTAGTGGACACTGCTTTTTAAAATCTGCAGCGGCCTGTCAGCTTTGCTGACCGGTGGCCAGGAGCACCACTCTCCGTGTTTCTTAGAAACATCCCTGTGCAAATAGCAAAGGGCCAAACCTGCAAAAGGGGGTCACTGTCATCCCAAAGGCAACTGGGACTCTGGGGAGTGAGATTGAGGGGGGCAGGTCCGGCCTGGCCCAGTGGGCAGAAGGGAAAGAGGGAAGGGGTGGGGCTTCACATTCAATCTTTGGAGAGAATACTGAGAGAACAAGGCAGGAAGGCCCTGCCAGCGGACTGGCTGCCCAGCGTCCTTGGCCTGTGGGCACAGGCGGCAGGTGCACCCTGGGTGTGAACTCAGCAGGTGGAGGTCTGCTTGCGATAGAGCTGTATCAGAGGCACCAGGCACTCGGGCAGCCCTGTCTGCAGCAGAAAGGGGTGATCCAGGAGCTCCTGGGCCGTGGCTCTCTCTTGGGGTTCCCGTACCAGCATCCGCTCCAGGAAGTCTCGCAGCACTGGGGAGACCTGTGAAGCAGAGCGGTGAGAGGGAGTCATGGCTCATAGTTGTGTCCCTGCAGCCTGACTGCCGGGGGAGGGGGGCTCCCACTCTGATACCTCATTTTCTCTGGTTTCTTACTTCCTGGTTCCTGGGTGGGGGCTCACTGTTGGATTATGAGGTAGGGAAAGGAGGCCAATTCACCTGACATGAGGGCTGCGGAGCAATGGAATGAGGATGTCTGGAACTCTGGGGAGCTGGGTTCCATACACAGCCCATTACCCCTGCCTGCTTCTGGGGGCTCTTGGCACTCAGGTTCTGTGGCTCTGTGAAAGGGGCATGGAACTGGCATCAGCGATCCAGTTCCAGATCGATGAGGCTGCCTCAGGATGCTACGGAAGGCTGCCTCCTTGGGGTAATTCGCTGGTGGGCGCTCTTCTGGCCCTGCTCCTCTAGGGCTTAGCAGGGTATGCCATCTTCATGGACCAAGCTGTCTTGGAGCCATTTAGAGACTGTACTTCAAGCCTCTGGCACAGTTTTTTTGCTTTGGCCACCAGGTGGCAGTACCACTCAGCCGACCTGTGCCAGTCTGTTAGCAGGGGATGGATTTGGCAGGAGAGAGTTAATTACAAGTATATATACTGGTTCTAGGGGGGAAGCTGTAGCTCAGCTATGGTCAGGATGTGTCATACAACAGGACAGGCTCATTTATGTGACGGCACTGTGTTGGTTTGGAACCCCTGAGAGAAAGGTGGAAGGATTTGTATTGTGGGAGACAAACAGCAGGGAATCCTGGGGTCCTCACTCTTTCTCCTCATAGGAATGGGCCAGGCTCCTGTCCAGAGCCTGCCGAGAAGTGATTCTCCTGCCATGGCTACAGGTGGGAACTGGTTGGAGTGAACATGGGAGTTTGTAGTCAACGTGACTTTGTAGCCAGTTTTGTAGCCAGTTTTTGATGTGGAAAAGGACCGAAAGCTTGTATCCTTCTGTTTTCCTGGAGCCTGTGTGCCCATCCCTTTATCTCAGGAGCAAAGGGCTTGAGGGGATGAGGTTGGGGTAGGGGGCTCACACCTTATATGATAACTGACCTTGTAAGAGTTCTTTAACTTGGGTGGGGGGCTGTCCCGGAGCCTCTTCATGGCTTGTACTGGGGAGTCGCTGAAGTAGGGAGGCTCTCCGTCCACCATCTCAATCACCATGATGCCCAGAGACCAGATATCCACCTGCAGAAGAAGAGCCCCGACTCTGCTGCTGGGGTCTGGCTCTTGGTGTCGGTGTGTTGAAGGAGCACCTTGTCTCCCTAGTGAGTCTGCTTCCTTCAACCCCTGGTCAGCTGCCCTGTGGTCAGTTCCTTTCTATATGAGTGCCCAGTGACCATAGAAGCCATCCCTCATGGAGAACGCTGGCTATATGCCACTGTGCCCTTGAGCTGAAGAGAACAGTGTGTGGCAGGGCCTGCTCTTGACAGTGAAGTCCAGGAAAGACTGGCTGTGGTGGTGAGAGCCTTTAAGCCCAGCATTTGGAAGGCAGGGGGAGGTGTATGAACTCTATGAGTTCAAGGCCAGTCTGGTCTACAAAGTGAGTCCCAGGAAATCCAAGGCTATGTGGAGAGACCCTATCTCAAAAAGGATACTGATTAAATGAGGAACCTCAGAACTAGGGTTGTTGGTGCTGGGACCACTTAACAGGGACAAGATGGAGGAGTTACATGTTCCTAATCTTCTCCAGGGAGGCCTGGAGGTGTGTGTATGTGTCGGGGGGGAACAGTTACCTCGGTAGCATACAGAGATCTGGAGATCACTTCAGGAGCCATCCAGTATGGGGTTCCTACCAGGGACTTTCTCTTGGGGACATCTTTGCTGATCTGAGCACAGAATCCAAAGTCTGAGAGCTTTACCTGGGAGTTGAAAAGGAAGTGGGTAGAGATCAGGAAGAGGGGGTGCTAGAGAGGATGGAGGTCAGCTGAACCATGGAGAGGGAGGACCTACCCTGCCGTCGAGGGTCAGCAGGATGGAATCACTCTTGATGTCTCGGTGGATGACACCCTGGGCGTGCAGGTAAGCCAAGGCCTGAAGCACAGCCTCACACACGGTTGCAATCTGCTCTTCATTCAGCCTGGACAGGAGACAGGCCCCCCATGGGAGATGTGGATTATCAGGGTGGCTGGGCTGAGAAGAAAGGAGTCCCAGGCAAAGGGGCCAACAACTCCCAGGCAGCGGACTTCAGCAGGCTGTAACCATTTTTTTCCTAAGATCACCGAGTCTCGGATACCCCCCAAATAGGCAAGAGTCCAAGATGGCTAGCCTTATGGGCCAGAAGCAGCTGGTTGCCATGCCAAGGCAGCAGTGGGGTGGTCATCCCCCAGTCCAGCCCTTTCAACTGCCTACCTGACTTGGGAGATGATGTCTGTGAGGGCCCCGCCCTGCAGGAACTCCATCAGCACCCACAGCTCCTCGCCTACCAAGTAACTCTTGTACATCTCCACCACGTTGAGGTGCTGGTAGTCACGCATGATCACCACCTGAGGGTACAGAAAGGCCTGAGTGCCTAGCACAGCGCCCCATGGTCAGGCCACCCCGCCACCCCGCCCGCGGCTCCCAGGTGCCCTGCGGCCACTCCACCTGGTCCCCACCTCGTTAAAGAGCAGCTCCCTGCGTTGCTGCTTTCTGAGGTCCATCATCTTAACGGCCACCTGGCGACCCGAATGCTTCTCCCGGGCCAGACACACAATGCCCGTGGAGCCCTCCCCAATCTTCACATAGCTGTCCAGCAGCAGCCGGGGGTCACCCTGGTCCACCACCATCCTGAGTGCAGCCTTGAACTGCTCATGTGTCACAATGCCCGTGTCCTCGCCGGCCAGGGCCCCCTTGGCCACGGTGGGGTCCTGGGGCAGGTATAGGTTGCTGGTGCTGATCTGAGCATGCCGCGTGCGGGGGGAGCCTGCTGGAGAAGACCGGCCTGGAAGTGGGCCAGCGGCTGGGACTGTGCGGAGGGACTTCTGGGGGCTGCTGGTATCCGAGGTGGTCAGGGGGCTGAAGGTCCCCATAGGCTGGTCCGAGGGCAAGGACTGGGCCTTGGCCACCAAGTTTGAGGAGGAATCTTTCTGCGGTGGTCGGAAAGCGGAGTTGAGCTGCAAAGACAAGGAAGGTCAGGGAACGTTAGACACAAGCTTCCTGGAGGCGGGGTTGGCTACTGTGGCCTGGACACTAGCAGGGGCTTCTAAATTAATTAAATTGAGGAAGAATATTAAGCCAAGTCTAACCAAACTAACAGATACATCCCCCGACCCCCATGCTCCCAGGTGACAGGCACAAGAGCATCTCTTCGTACACTCTCTACTGCTCCAGGGAAGACAGAGACAGTCAGTCCTGGGGTGGCCTCAAGCCGGGTATTTCTTCCTAGACAGGCCTCAGGGAGGTCGTTGTGAGACAGATTTCTCTGAGAAGTTGGGTCTGAGGCCCCTGATGTAAGTGGAAAATGCCTTGAAAGGGGGCAGTGGGTAGCTGTGACTGGATCACAGAACCAAGACAGGGAAGAAGCCATGGCTGGGCTATATCAAGGAGGTTAAACCCACCAAGAGGCCCTTGACTAAGGAACCCTTGGAGAAGGAAGTGGGGAGCTAGTTTCAGCCTCAGTGGGGGGTGAGGCAAAGGAAGGACAGTCTCTGAGCTCAAGCCTTCCTGCCAGACCAGAGGAAAAGGAGCCCACCCCTCACCACCCCTTCCAGGATCTTGGTTTTTAAACATGTGGAGAGGGACCCTCTAGGGGCTCCACAGAGGGCTGCTTAGGGTGTCACAGAGACAGATGCCTCAACAGTCACTAGTTTTGCACGTGGCCACAGCTCTGACTCACTGAAGAGAATCTCCTGGAATCGTTACTTTGGGCTGCTTGCTCGGGCACCCCAAATCTAGGTTTCCACTTCCAGGCTTTGGGGACTGACTCCCCAGCATAGGCCCTGCAGGGGGTCTGGCAGCCACCCAGTGATGGGTTGAAGGAAGATGGTCGTGCCTTTAGGAGCCCCAGCGAGAGAACACTTATCTGGAGAGTGCCGAGATGCCTCAACGGAAACTACTCTGAATTTGGCAGCATGCCAAAGTCTCTGAGCCTAGGCCAACCATGAGCTGCTTCCACTGTGGGTGTGGCCTGGCACACATAGTGGTCCACGGGGGTTCTCGGTAGTGAGTGGGGACGGACAGTGTGGTGACTGGCAGTTCAAACAGATGAAGGCTGTGCCAAGCTCAGTGTTAGCACCCCTTTCCACCAGACCCTTGCAGCCTACCCAAGGAGGCACGGAGGGTCAGCTGACCCTCACTTCCCTAGTGCTATGCCTTGCCCTGCCGCACCTTAGTTTAGTGGAGGATGTCTCCCAAGTTCACAGCCTTCCAGAGACTCCTAAGCTCACAGACACGCGGAGGGCAGGAGTGCACGAAGCCATGAAGCTTCCCCGGTGCCTCAGCTGGCAGTGGCCTGAAGCACTTGTCAGTTCAGGCTACCCTCTAGTTCGGGCTAGACCACTATCAGCATCACCACAGCAGAGGGTCCAGCTTGTTCTCAAAGCCCTCTCTGTTTGCTATCAGCGGCTGTTTCTTAGGGATGGCTTAAAACCCTCCTGCTCGACCTGTCTTTCAAGAGTTAGATGATAATTGTTCACCATGATGACAAAGCTCTGTACACAAGATTGGGGAGCCTGGAAGGCCCGAGACAGAATGCCAACTCTGAGCGAGTACCTGCCCTGCTTGCTTCTCTGCCTCACTGGAGATCCTAGTGGGAGCTCACTCTGAGAGGGTCATCACCTGCCGGATGGGAAAGAGTGCTACGGTCACTGCAGAGAGGCAGGCATGAAGCAGAAACGCACTAGTCTGCCTGCCTAGGCACGCCATCACCGAGACGCCCTCCCCTCTTTTCCTTTGTCTCAGGAAAGAAGTGCCCTGTCCGGGGTTCTCCAAGTTCTAGGGCAAAGTCAGTCTCCTGGATTCTCATAATACACACTCTCTGGCAAGTTGTGCCCCTCCAGGGACATTGAGAAGCTAAGGAGGGGCAGACGTGAAACTGGAAACTGATGCTTCTCTGAGAACCTGATGCTTCTCTTCTAGTAACACACTGAAGAAGAAGTAACGATGGGAGAACGGGGAAAGGAGGAAGGGGTGGTCACTCTAGGCAGCTATATCCAGAACCCCCTGCAGTCCTCAAAAAAGTAGCGTTCTCCAGAAGTACTACCCCCAAAAGGGGAAGGTGGAGAGACCCTTCCCTCTCCAGGCCAGGGTGCACATCCCTGCCTGGCTCTTGAGGTTCTGCCCTGAGCTTCTTGTTAAAGGTGCTTTCAAAGGAGGGGCCACCCGGTGGACTGCCAGGCCTTAGAGAACAGGTCTGTCAGCCACAGAGGTTTGCCCTTCACCTGAAACAACTCGGCTTACAGCCTGCGGCTCACATGTGCCAAGCCTTTGGAAGACATAGACTCGGATGGTGAATTCAGGCCATTAGCCGAGACCACACTGGTTAGCTGGTCAGTTTGATTTCCCACGTTCTTGTCCTGACCCAGTAAGTAGGGAGGGCCAGGCAGGCTTGGCATCTGTAGTACTTACTGCCCTGCAGATGTCACCTAGGTGTGCTTACTTGTCCTCCTTCGAATGACCCCGGGAGGAAGACCCAGGTGATATACCTTGTTCTGTGGCAGAGGGACCGGCTTGCTGCTGCTTGCAGAGCCTGTGGCGGGAGTGGACAGGAACATGCTTCGGAAGAGCCGGTGCTTGAGACTGCTTTCCTGGTTCTTAGAGCTAGGGCTCCCTTCTCCACCTGGCCTGCCAGTGGCTGAGCCCACCAGGCAGGACTGTGGCCGCACCTCCTCTGAGCTGTGCTTGGCAGCCTTCACCCCACGCCTCCCTGTGGCCATAGGGGGTGAGGTGCCAGGTGGGGAACTCGGTAGGCAGGCACCCAGCTGCAGGCAGCGCTGCGAGGCACCCTGGAACTCAGCAGGGCCCAAGGACTGTGCCTTGGCAGCCAGCCCATTGGGCAACGCCTGTGGGCTCTGTGGCTCCGGCCACGGCATCTGCCTGTGACCTGCTGGTGTGCCCCCATTGCAGCTGAGGTAGAGGCCATGGGGATCAGTGCGCTCAGACTGAGGACTCTGAAGGTACATATCCGGGTCAGCGGCCCATTGCTCATCCCCCAGCAGTCCTAGCGACTGTGCCCGCCGCCGGCTAGTGGGGCTGCGTCCGCGCAGGGTATTGGAGCTGATAGCCGACAACTTCTGGATGTCGTTGAGCAGCCCTGAGATGTAGCCCTCCGTGGGCACTGAGCTGCCCCGCACCACCGTCTACGAAAGGAAGACAAAAGAGTGTGGAGAAACAGTCTCTTCATGGCAGAGGGTAGCTCAGAGCCTCCCTGAGGGCCCTGGGGGGAGGAGGGGACGCCAACCCACACACCTCCTTTATCGCCCACCCATCGTTAGGTGTCCAGATATTTGCCTGTGTCCGCAGTGGCTGAGGCCCAAGCTGGGCAGCCTACACGGATGCAGGGAGAAAGCCCTTGTCTTCCGGGCAGATAGGCAGACACCGGTCGGTCCAGGATATAAAGCGGGTGACCGGGCGCGCCTAGAAAGCTGGAGAACTCAGGACAGGCACTTCAGGCTTCTAGCTCTTCCCATGGTTTTCAGGGAGATGCCTGAGAAAACCAGCTCTGGGGCCTCCCTGTCCCCCATATTCCACCCTATGACATGGCTCCTGACCCCCAACTCCTACCCAGCCCCTAAATCTTCCATGTGATGTCTGATCTGTGACAGCTGCCAGTCCTCTGGGGCCACGGGTCTAAACGGTGGGTGAGACATTCTTAAAGATTGGTGTTAACCGAAATTCAAATTAACTAGTTAATTTTGGTGGGTTTGAGGTTTTTGTTTTGTTTTTTTCAAGACAGCTCAGGCTGGCCTCCAACACACTGCAATATGACTGCCTCAGTCTGTCAAGCCCTGGGCTTATAGTCAAAAGCTGCCATGCCTGGCTCAAAATTCTTCCCATGCAGAAAGGCTGATCAGTAGGGGACTGAGGTGGCAAAAGACTGAGACGGGCTTGGTTCTGATACCCAAGTGGCCCCTCTGGGTGCCGCTGGGGTTTCACAGATAGTTTCCTGTGGCGTGGGAGAGGTCAAACATGGCTAGAAACCCGCCCCCTTACCTTCATGGGCTGCAGCTGCACCCGTGTAATTCGAGAAGGATCCACCACAGGCTTGGGCCGCCTCAAGGTGTCCAAGATATTCTGCCATTGTGGGGGGAGGCCCACGAACTTGCCTTCCTTGGGGTCAAAGGAGGTGTGGACGCGGTGCTGGAAGTTTTGTGGGGCTGATATCTCGGGGCGTTTCTTCTTTTTCTTCCGGAACATGGTGCCTGTAAGAGGAGGGTCAGTGGAGTTTGTCCCAGGGACCCTGGGGTGGCTCAGTGGGTGCTGCGTACAGGCTCAGGCCTCTGTTTCTCCCTCAGCGTCACTACTCTGTCCCTGGAGATTCCCTCGCTGTCTTCAGGACTTCCTCAGGGAAGTGGCTGGCTCCCAGCAGGACAGTTTTAGAAACGTCAAAAGTGCCATACATAAATAAAAAAATAAATAAGCCACTACAGACTACAAGCAAGGAAAAGAAGTATCCACCTTGTTTGTGCCGAGTCGCCTGCCAAGAAGTGCTTTTTTTTTTTTTATAAAACCCAAAGCCCATTACAAACATCAATTCATGTCACAGAATTACAAAAGAGGCCAGGAGGGTAGAAGGCTGGCAGACTCACTCTGCGAAGCAGGTACGACCTTGACTCTCAGCCAAAGGAGAACACAAGAAAAGGAAAACCAGAACCAGTCTCTCTTAAGAACATAAATATGAGCTGGGCAAGGTGTTCCATGGTTGCAATCCCAGCACTTGGGAAGCTGTGGCAGGGGGATTGCTGTGAGTTCAGGCCAGCTTGGACTGTCTAACTAGACCTTGGCTAAACTGCCCCCAACTGCCCCCAACACCGCTCTGTAAATGTGAAAAACTAGCAAACTGAATTAAATGATGAGCTGAAAATTTTGTCACATTCAACACGTGTGTTGCTAACTGACCGACAGGAAACCTATTAAAGCAACACATGACACGAACAGGAACCAACCAGCCAATCTGCAGGACCGTTGCCCAGCCTGGTAGTGTTGATTGTATTATTCCCAGAGGGCCCTCCTCGTGAACATGCATTTTGTTCTGCAAAGGGCTGAGCCGAAAGGTCAGCCGTGTGTAGGGCCAGGATAGTTACCTCACAGGTCAAGTTCTCTAGAAAAGGCAGACAGTCCCACTTACCCACTTCCTGTGGATTTTAATCGTATTCCAGGACACTACACAAAATATCTCTTGTGGCCTAGCCTGTACCCCACACCTTGTTGATCTTGCATTACTGAACTCTGTCGATGGGAATGGCGTGGGCTTGGAAAAGATACTATGAGTAGACCTGAGAGGGGATAACTGGGAATCCGGAGGGTTGACGGGTTTCTCCAAGGTCTGTCGTGGTCACTCCTAGGGAGTCCCAGGCTGGAATCAGTATATTGACAAAAAACACTTGAGTTTTTGAATATGAAGTAGCTCAAAACATTTCAGAAATGAAATGAATCAATGTGTCTCTGTCTGTGAATAGGGTCTTGCTGTGTTTCCCAGAGGGGTATCCCTCTGACTCAATCTCTGGAGTAGCTGGGACCACACTACACCGCCTCACACAACTTATGCGGTTTCACCATGTGAATGCTTGGATTATTCATCCAGTTGAAGAGCTGGCACGCAAGGCCATTGCAATCTCTGACTGCTCTTGCTCCCAGGACAGTATTTTCCCCATCACTTTGGCAACTTCTGGAGAGCATGTGTAGGCAATAGGTGCCACTGAAAAAGGTGTCAGGCCCACTGCTTCCTCCCCGGGAACGTGCCATGTGCAAGGCAGCGTCACCTATGGCGTGGCCCTTAGAAGAGCAACAGTCTCTCAGACACGCCTTAAGGACAGAGTCAGCATCGGGGACCCTTTGCGGCAGAAGACTTTACACTGAGATGGTTGATTGAGTCTCACTTGTAGAGAGCCTCTTCCCTAAACAGGAGTGAGTTGGAGCAAGTTAGCAACTTAAGCCTCTGGGTTCCTCTCCCATCTATATAGCGGTGTTTGTGGAAGACAGCTCACAAGGTTAGGGAGCGCAGAGTAATAGATGCCCTACAGATGCTGACCGTCTCTCTAGTTGTCTTCTCTCTCTCCTTGTCCCTAAGCTTGGGGTCTTCAGACACTGGCACTTGGGTAGATTTGCGTGGAGAGTGATGTCAAATTCCTTTCCTCGCTCATCATTTCCATCTCAAGGGGTCGTGACTAAAACTCTAGGTTCCGGGACCCAGACACTGTACCTCACGTCCCCACCGTGCAGCCTCTTTGGACTGCTTCAGCCTCTGCCTCTTGCTTCAGCCAGCAGACCAATCCTCGCAGCCTCTCAGGCAGACCCTCTGTTCCTGGATTAGTGAACAGACCCTGCTGGCTAGTTTTATGTCAGTGTGACACAAGGTGGAGTCATCTGAGAGGAGGGGACCTCAATTGAGAAAATGCCTCCATAAGCTCGGGCTGTAGGGCGTCGTGGGCCCAGCCCACTGTGGGTGATGCCATCCCTGGACTGGTGGTCCTGGGTTCTATGAGAAAGCAGACTGAGCAAGCCAGGAGGAGTACCTCCACCCTGCCATGGCCTCTGCATCAGCTCCTGCCTCTAGGTTCCTGACGTTTGAGTTTCTGTCCTGACTCCCTTCAGTGACGGACTGTTACCTGGAAGTGTAAGCCAAATAAACCCTTTCCTCCCCAACTTGCTTTTGGTCATGGTGTTTTGTCGCAGCAATAGAACCCCTAACTAAGACACAGACTCTCTTGCTTCCTCCATAGCTGTGAGATTTTCTAGAGGTACTCATATCATCCGGAGTCACAAAGGAACTGGCTGAGACCTTCCTTCAAGAGCCCTGATTTTCCAGATCAGCTCTTGGATCTTGCATCAGAATTCATGGGGAGGAAAGGCATCAGTATCAAGTAGCATCCATGACTCTGATACCTTCTGGAGTTCACCCTAACAGCTATTCCTTGACAAGCTCTCCAGAGGCAGCAGAGAAACCTGAGGAGAAAGACCAGCACCCAAGGGATTACGGAGGTTGGCAGCAGTCAGTGGAGCTTTGGGTAGGAGACAGAAATTTAGCAGTCAGCTAATCATTTAAACATTGGTAAACCTGAGACCTAAAGGAAGGCCACTAGGACTCATCAGAAGTGTGGTCAGGCCAGCCGTGCTTGAGACAGTGTGTTTGTGACAGTAGAAAACCCAGAAGAATCTGCAGCAACCAAATTTGTTTGGAAAGTCTTCAAGGCCAACATAAATAAAAGTTCATTGAATTTCAATATAAAATGAAACAGAGCCAGGCATAGTAGCTCACACCTGCAATCCCAGACGAGATCGGAGGATCAGGAACTCAAGGCCAGAGTGCACTGCACAGTGAGTTTGAGACTAGCCAGGGCTAGATAGCCTGTCTTGAGGAGGAGGTAGTGGTTCTGGAGAGATGACTCAGTGGGTAAGAGTGATTACTGGGCCAGGCAGCGGTGGCTCACGCCTTTAATTCCAGCACTGGAGAGGCAGAGGCAGGTGGCTCTCCATGAGTTCAAGGCCAACCTGGCTTATAGAGTGAACTCCAAGACAGCTGCGGCTACACAAAGAAACTGTCTTGAAAAACAAAACAAAAATTGCTGCTCTTGCAGAGAAACTGGACCTGGGTTTAGTTCTCAGCACCCACATGGCAGCTCACAACCACCCGGTACTCCAGTTTCGGGGGATCTTGACACCCCCCTTTGACCTCTGTAGCCTCCTGCATGCATGAGGTACACTACATATATGCAGCACACACATACACATGCAAAATAGAATAAAGATAGAATTTTAAGAGAGAAAGGAAATGACATTATCATCTTACATTAAAAACAGCAAACACCCGGGAATAAACCTCTTTGCCTTGGAAGCCGTAGAACATTATTAGAGATATTAAAGAATGTTCATATGTTGAAGATTTCACACTGTGAAGATGTCAGTTACTCCCAAATCAACCTACAGTCTTATTTCAGGCTCAGCATATTTCTGGTGGCAGAAACTGACACACTGGTTCTAAGATGTGCAGGAAACAGAACCAGGAATAGCCCCGGCAGTCGGAGGGAACAGTCGGAGGACTATACTAAATATACATTGGGATTTATCATAAAGCTGCCGAAATTAATATGCTGTAGAAACAGCACAAGGATTGACAAATAGAGCAATGGGACAGAAGCAGGAATCCAGAAATAGACCAACTCGGATGAGGTCGCTTGATTTATGGCAAAGGTGACATTGCAATGTGGTGGGAATGGATGATCTTTTCAATAAATAGAGCCAAAGCAATTAAATATCCATGTGGGGAAAAAAATGAACTTGAAGAAATGAGCTCAGAGCACACCCTCACGTTAATTAGATACAGATCATAGCCTCCATGAGAAAGGTAACGTCATCACGCTGGTGGTAGGTGCAGGGGTGGAGGGCACAGTCTGGCTGTCCCCTCCCTGGTCTCATGTGATGACTATATCAGGTCCAGGTCCGATGGCTTCTGGAATTGCTGACATGCTGGGGTCCAAACCTGTCTGCATTCGTGGATCCCAGAGGAAAATTAAACCATCGAGGTTTTCTTTGTTGAAACAGGAAGAATAAAGGATCAACTTAAAATTTCACCTCTGCCACGTGTAGGAAAAAAATACACCAAAGTAACTGCTGAGTTTGCCTGGGGGACTCTGGGGGCTTCCTCCTATGCTGCCTTTCCATTCTTCTAAGGAAAACAGCCTTGTTTTTAGACAGAGGTTTTATGACATAGCCCAGGCTGGCCTCCTGTGACTCCTCCTGCTTCAGACTTCCAAGTGCTGGAATTATAGGTGGGGATCAAAATATTTTTACCTATTTTATAACGTTTTATTTTTACATGTGTGCTTGCATGTGTGCCTGTGTGTCAGTCTGCGCATGTGAATGCAGTGCCCTCAGAGATCAGGAGAAGGACTTGGATCTCCTGAAAGTGGAGTTTTGCGTAGTTGTGTGCCCTCCGACCTGGGTGGCAGCAACCAAACTGCAAGAGCAATACGTACTCTTAACCACTGAGCCATCTCTCTGGGCCCTGAAATATTTTTAAACATAAGAGTGGTCCATGTTAGCCAGTGTTGCCCAGTCTCCATGAGTGAAACACTTGGGACACCAACGTGCCCTGCTAAGAATGGCCGTCAAGGCTTGCCATTTCTAGGGCTTTCTTTCCACATATTTCCGAGAGCCTTGAGAGGGCAGTTGCTGCATTTATCACCAGGCTGTGGTGTTCAAT